AGTTTTATTTTATATCTTCTAATACCTTTAAAAAATGAATAAATTATGTAGGTATATACAGGGCGTTTCACGGCTTTAGGGCATAACTGCAGGAGGTGATTTCCTAGGTCTTTATGATCAAAAAAATTCATATAAACATGTGTCCGATTTTGGACGGTTACGGAGTTATGACCGTTTTAAACTCAGAATAGAAGGTAACGATTACTGACAATAAACGGAACAAAATAATAAAATCAGCATAATACATTATACATTTAAAGTATGAATGTAAAGTTAACTTCGTGAAATTGCCTTTAATTTGAATTTATTGGTGCTTAAAGCTGAATTTCAAAAATGCCACCGCCGGCAGCAACACAGGCTGCCGCTCGGTTGTGAACCGCGCCGGACATACCAACCCTCCTCGCCTTAGGTACATCTCAAGTGTCGAGATAACGAGAACGCTCTGTCTGTAGCTGGCTAAAAATAGCGACCGGCCAGCTGACAGACGCGGTTCACACAAGGGCGTGACGGGAATGAAAAAACGGTCATAACTCCGTAACCGTCCAAAATCGGACACATGTTTATATAAACTTTTTTGATCATGAAGACCTAGGAAATCACCTCCAGCAGTTATGCCCTAAAGTCGTGAAACACCCTGTAGAGTGTTGCACAAATACAAATCGACAAAACCTTATTTAAGNCAAACAACTAGACGTCATATCCCAGAAGGCAGTACTGTTCATAGTCACAGCCTTGAGAGCTTGTAATCTCGTATCATATTATTACTTTCAAATATACATACCTCGGTTGCATGAAACAGAATAATGTGATAAAAAGGATGTGCAAGAGAAGACGGTTAAAACCATGGTGACTGACATTCATAGTTGAGATTTGAACTGAATATGAAGCAGAAATATTACTTCATAATATTCGATGCAATGCAATAGAAACGCTTCAATATTGTTACAATTACAAAATTATATTTTTTGTTGGCTTTTATATCTGTTGGATTGTGCAATATATCTTCCAGATCTTTCGTGGTCGATAAGTAACGCTTAAATAAGGTTTAAGGTCTTTCATTCTGGTCCGGTAGTTGTCTGTCGGTAGTTGATGTTGCTTGTCTGTGTGTTGTGATGCATCACAACACACAGACAAGCAACATCAACTACCGACAGACAACTACCGGACCAGAATGAAAGACCTTAAACCTTATTTAAGCGTTACTTATCGACCACGAAAGATCTGGAAGATATATTGCACAATCCAACAGATATAAAAGCCAACAAAAAATATAATTTTGTAATTGTAACAATATTGAAATGTTTCTATTGCATTGCATCGAATATTATGAAGTAATATTTCTGCTTCATATTCAGTTCAAATCTCAGCTATGAATGTCAGTCACCATGGTTTTAACCGTCTTCTCTTGCACATCCTTTTTATCACATTATTCTGTTTCATGCAACCGAGGTATGTATATTTGAAAGTAATAATATGATACGAGATTACAAGCTCTCAAGGCTGTGACTATGAACAGTACTGCCTTCTGGGATATGACGTCTAGTTGTTTGGTTGAATTTTACCTCCTTTCCTATTAAAGGAAGATATTCTTAATAATATGTTTCACGACACATATGCCGTCAGTATCTCCTGGACTGAAATTCTCCGTAAAGTGTGTTCAACTGTCGACACTAGATGCTGGAAATATCTCACGCAGTAACCCAAATGTTATAAGTAATTAATCATACACGCCTCTAGCGTAGAGAAGAAATTCTAAACTGATTTATAATGTATCATCATTTTCTCATTACTGAAGTTTCATTCTCAAGGCATAAGAAAACAGGAAAAGTTTACACGGGAATAATTTAAAGGATTTTATCTCTTAAGAAATGTCTGCAGTCCATCATGAATTAACTGCTGTATAGGTTCATGTTATCGGCTGTCGTATTAATTGTCAGAAATGGAGTTAGAAAAGTAAACCACAAAAGGAAGCAAAATTATAATGCTTAAATATTTTCTGTGCCGAATTTAATTAGGGATAATAACTGATCAGAACTGGACGGTTTTCAAAGATAAATCTAACAGTGCGTCTGCCATAATTTCGAAAATATTAGCCACGAATAACATTACTATATTTAACACCGTATAAATACAAAAAGCATACGTTAAGTTCAGTGGATTAGCACTCCTGTTTCGTATTTGAAGGTCCCAAGTTCGGATCCTGGTCCTCACTCCTACTACCAGGACTTTTTTTTCCGTGATTTTCATAAACGTTTCTAGTTAAGAACCAACTTTACCGGATGGAGGGTGTCGCGTGGTCAGCGCAATGTATCCCCACGGCCGTTAATCTCGATTTTCTAGACCGGAGCCACTATTTCCTTGAAATAGCTCCTCAATTATCCTCACGAGGCTGAGTGGACTCCGTTCCAGACCCACTACTTCTCAGAAAATCTGGTAGCGCCGGGAATCGAACCCAGGAAATCTGGATCTGTAACCAGGAACTCTGTCCATTAGATCACAGAGGCCAACGGCGGTCGCTAGGTCGGTATAGTTCGCTTGCGGACTAGAGGCCACGGAGTTTGTTTTTGTTTTTATTTATATTTAAGTTCAATGATGTTACATTAAAATGGGCTACGACCGCTTCCTTCTGCATAGTCGGCTTTCCACTTTATCATTCACGGTAATTCTGCCATTCGACGCCTGATAGCGTATGGGGCTCAAAATATGTCTTTAAATACGTAACTTATGTGAGACAGCACAAGTAACAGTTACCCTGATAGCAGTAGTTATTCTAGATTGTCATCCATCTTGACGGATAATTCCACCATTCAGTGCAGCAGAACTCCACATTCTTTAAACTTCAACGTTTCGCTTAGATTTAACAGCAAAAAAAAAATGTAAAGGTAACAGGCCATGGAGGCCCACAGGGTTGTGAGAGGTCGAGACTCCCACATTCTCTAGACATTCGGCTCACGGATGGCGGTGGGGTTCTCAGCCTTACGCGCCGGCCGCCCTTTACCCCTAGAGGCTGAGTCGACCCCAGGGCCATAGTGCGGCTGGAAGGACTATTTAAATTGAAAATATCCACCTCATCGAGACCCGAAACCGCGACCTTCCGCCTTGTATCATAGTGCCTCAACCAACTACGCTACCGCTTGTCCCCCAGATTTAACAGTATTCAGTATAACGTCCTATAATTTATAATGATGTTAGAGGCTAAAGCTTTAAACGTCAAGTACTGATGATAATTTTTGACGCTGCGCGGAACGGTCAATAGCGAACAGTTTCCTAATCTGAAATTCAAGAGTATGACAGGTGTTTGGGTTCCCTTGTAGGTTATGCAGAATAACCAACAATGTGTACTCTTGTTCTAAAGTCTTTGTTGAGATTACATACAGTGTCCAAATAAGCGAGGTTTGAACAGGATACTATTCGAATACGAAGCAAACATTAAAAGAAATATCTCAGTCCCTGTAGTCAGTTGTGGTCTAGATTCAAACCAGGAACTCGTAGCATAGCATATATTCACATTTCATGATTCTGAACAAATTTATCAACATCGCTTCCTAAATTCATCGTTAAATTCGGTTCTCTCATTTTTAATTTATCTGTAATTTCAGAACACTTAGTGTAACACTTCCACTATGCTACGAGCCGGATGGTCGCGGGTTCGAGTCCCGATGAGGTGGAATTTTTCAATTGACTTAATCCTTCAAGCCGCACTATGGCCCTGGAGTCGACACAGCCTCTAACAGAAATAAGTACCAAGAATCTTCCTTGATGGTAAAGGGCGGCCGGCGCGTAAGACTGACAACCTCACCGCCGTCTGTAAGCCGATTGTCTAGAAAATGTGAGACCCTCAGCGGCCTGTTAAGGGCCGTAAGGATAAACTCTTCAGTGGAGACACCATAAATTGCAATAACTGTACTTAAGAGGAGACAGTGCATCAGATTTGGCTGTCTTATAAAGTCATCTGGACTATGACGAAAGATTTTGAATTGCTTACATTTCTTCTCCGCTTCTCTTGACTTATACAGTAATTCTATTGAAAACTGGCATTTCTCGTAAACGAGAACGTACGCATAGGCTGTGTGTTATTCCTCAAAGCAGAACACCACTGAAAGTAGTAACTAAAGTAAAGCTATCCCTGTAACAGACCGTGGAGGCCCATAGGGTTGTGAGATGTCAAGGCTCCCTTATTTTCTCTATACAATCAGCTCACAGATGGCGGTGAGATTGTCAGCCTTATGCGCCGGCCGCTTTTTACCCCCAGGAATATCCCTGGTACTAATTTATGCTAGAGGCTGAGTCAACCCCAGGGCCAAAGTGTGGCTGCAAGGATTAGGCAAATTGAAAAAATTACCTAATCGGGATTCGATCCCGCGACTTTCCGGCTTGTAACATAGTGCCTAAACAAACTACCTTACCGCGTGCACCCCAGTGAAAGTAGAGTAACAGGAAATTAAATTTGTACACCAGATGGATCGTTGCGAAACATAATTCTTAAATACACGTATAGAGTCGTCTGTTTCTTCAGCCCGTACAGCGACGGGCTACTGGCTGAGTGAGCTGAGTCCCACTCTTGGCAGGAGCAAGACTTTTTCTTTTCTCTGTAGCATTCAGACCGGCTCTGGGGCCCATTTGGCATCCTATCCATTGGGTACTCGGAGCCCCTTCCCCGGGCGTGAAAACGGCTGGCTTGTGACGTGAATCTAACCACTCACTTACGTCTAGTACCGAGGTCAAGAACGGTGGAGCTGTACCTCTATTCTTTCGTGTGTCTTCACAGCGTGGTACGTAATTAATTATGCTGACTAACTAATTTCTCTACTTTTCCACTAGCTGGCCCTTCCGAAATATACTTCTTAAATACACGTAATGCAGTCACCTTATATTTTTATTTGCCAGATAGGCAAGAGGCACGAAGAAGTGAAGGGACATGAATCATCAGATTTTTAAAAGTTCGCTGATAAGGTGTGTTGGGAAGATGATTGATGTTTTGCGTGTGGTCTAACCCGCAGGCGGGTCTGTTGCGCACGGAACGCGGCGAGCTGTGGCTTGAGCCCCTGAGGGGTCACAGGGGAGGTGTGGGCTCGGAGCGACCCCACATCGTGTTCAAGCGCTCCGCACCTCACGGCTCCAAGAAACGCAAGCGCAAGAGGAGGAAGAGACACGAGAAGAACTGCGGAACCAGGGGTGAGTGAACATAGATTATTCTGTGCTTTAGCAAAACTGAGACTTGGGGTGAGAGGGGAGAATGAAGTCGATTTGATACCTGGCTTATTTAATGACGCTTTTTTCGTCTTCAGATGTTATGTAACCTAGAATACAGGATGATTACTGATTGATCCATTGGATAGTGTGCAGAAGTAAGAGCTCGTGGCCTATTTAAAGATAGGTTGTACTATCGTAGCATTTGAAGAGAATAAAGAAACCACGAAAAATGAAGGTCAATATAGCAATTTTATGGAGAGAGTTTCGAACAAGGGGCCATCCGATTACGAGGCAGGATTGCTAACCACTCAGTAGGAAACAAGAAATACAAACTAAATATTCGCAGGGAAATCTCATTGAAGATGATCTTCGGATATGGATGTGAGGTTGGAATGACAGTGAAGGAGGACCCTACTGATGTAGATTATGGAGAAGCACACTGGGTTCAATTGTATCAAAGTATGGACATATTGTAGGCTTTTGTAGACGCTGTTGTGAACATTCAGATTTCTTAACAGCAACGAATTTCTTGAAAAAAGAAGAGCAGGAATATAATATTAATGTGATTAGGAAGACTATGTTTTTTTGGGGGGGCGAGAATTAACTCTGTTGACGTTGCCCAGAATCGGCCCCAGAGGCAGATTTCTGTTACGACTCTTCTGAAACTGCATATTCTGTTTACTGTACGTAAGAGGTTATCTTCTCTGGCAACCCCTTATGCTAGGGAGTTTGTACTTTAACCAGACTCACTGCCATGCAAACTTTGCACAAAGTGAGCTATTAATTGGGGCATTAGTCTGTGTGCGATGACTGTTCGTATGGATGTTTCTCAACAGATCTGGAGGAAATTTCTTATTGGGGTTTCGTAAAAAGATTTTGGATGAATTTATTTATGGACAGAACTATATTCTGGGATGTCCAGACCGGTTCTGGTGTTCACCCATATGCCTTTCCAATGGGTAACGGCGACTCTTTCCCCGGAGGTAAAGCGGCCGGGGCGTGAATTTGACCACTCACCTCCAATTAATTCCGATGTCAAGAAAACTTGGGTCTATACATCCACTCCCCCATGCGGCTTCATGGAGTAGTGCTTCATTGGATAAGTACAGGGACAATTTTACCGTACCTTACACTCTTCTGGGATATGACGCCATATAGTCTGATACAAAGTCAATAGAAAGTCCGTCTAGTCNACAATTTTACCGTACCTTACACTCTTCTGGGATATGACGCCATATAGTCTGATACATATTTACCGCTTGCTGCTGGATTGCTTCCTCGCCGTACCCCTCAACACGTTCCACCGAAACGTCACCGAACTTCTTCCTGGATAAACAACGTCAGATCAGAAGATAGATCTCTTCACAGCCATCGTCTTGAGAACCTCAGATCTCAAATTTAATTTCGGTCCATATCGGTATGCGCTATGAAACCCGTATCCAACTTCACATACTTTTCTTTTTTTCCAAAAGGGCACAGATATAAAGTAACTTACAGAGATCTAGTGTTTCTATGGCCTTGTTTCTTAGATCCACGGCGGTAGGTAAGGGATGGAGTGAAATATATCTCGCCTCGCCGCGAAATTAAGACTCTAGTAATCAATCTACACCTTCATTTTTTTTCATCAGTAATCTGTCATACGACAGGTCCACAGTCTCCTCCAAAACAGTTCCTCCACTTAATGCGATCTATAGTAGCGGCCTCCGTAGTCTAGAGGTAATGTTCCCACCTCATGACTCGTAGTACGCGGGTTCAAATACCCGGCGGAGGTCGTCGCATTTTTAAG